TTATGAACTGTAGTAGTGGGGAACCTTTCGGCCTTGGCAAGTAGACTGATAACATGATCTAATAAGACTTTTCCATCTGTAATGTCTCTTGATCTGTAGCTGGAGAAATAATAAATTTGATATACAGCTGTTTTGTTCCAGACTTGCTTCTGTTTGGATTGTGGCATGACATCTCTCTGGCTTCTGTTTTTAGAGTCCTTTCTGAGGACTGGAGGAGGAGGAGAGTACGTATTCAGGTATTGTCCTAATAGATTTAGGGCATATTTTTACACACATGAAGATCCATTGTCTTGGAAATGCTCCTGGGGCTCCTGCAGAGTTGTAGAGGAGGTGTGTGCCTTACAGTGGTCACACGCAATATTACTGAGGTCTTGGCACTATGGGATACACCTTTCCAAAGACAACCTCATCCATATCCAATTTCATATGAAAATTCAAAAGAAAAAACCCAAACCATCAGCAATATATTTCTTATTTTAAAGAAGTTTTTTACCAGGATTCCTCTTAAAAAATTGTGCTTACTGTATTTCCTGTCTCTCACCAGTCAAGATCCAGAAATGAGTTATCCTTCTGCCCTCTTTGGAAAGAACACACTTTCCGAATTATATCACATCTGCTTTTTTTTTCTAGAGATGTAACAAGGGGGTTCACAGCCTCCCTCACCACTCTATCTGTATTTTCCACTGCCACACAGTCACTTTGTAGTCATGATTTTCACAGAAGTATTGCTAAGTTCATCAGACAAACAGATCTAGGTGTCTGTAGGCAGAGGGATCTCTTCTTGCCATTGAGAACTGTGGGGTCTGGATTTGCTATAGACCATGGTAATAAAGTGACAGAGTGACAGGCAGGTACCTGAATTCTGGGGGATTGCAGGGACACGACCTTAAGAGGTCATTTTCACTACAGTCAACAACCTGGAGAGACTAGGGTAAACTTCTGCAAATCATAGAATCATAGAATAAGCCAGGTTGGAAAAAACCTGTGAGATCATCAAGTCCAACCCTTGATCCACTACCGCTATGGTCACTAGATCATGGCACTAAGTGCCACATCCAATCTCATCTTAAATACCTCCAGGGACAGAAAATCCACCATGCCTCAAGTTACTCCTGTTTATGCCCCTGAAAACCTTTCTGTCTCTCACCAGTACTTTTGCATTGATGTAATTCTCTCAATTAATAAACATGCTGTTTTAATACTATCTAACATCACAATCATATCACATGGTTTCAATGTGGTCCTGACTTAGGCCACATGTTCCACCGGTGGGAAATACAGCTGTTGTAAAAACTGTTAAGTATTTCATTGAGAAAAAAAATAAAATACAATTGGACTAGCAATTAGAGGGGTAAATGCCTGTGATCCAACTGAGACATGATTAAAACAGCCCTAAAAAGTATCAGGAGGAGTTATAATGAAATGAATGAATATAAAGCAGGCCTGCAGAAAACAGTGCTCCTCATAGCTTAAACATCCAACACACCATGACCAGCAGCATCTTTCATTTCATAGAGGTGTATCCCTCAGGAAGTCTGCAGATGACACAAAACTGAGCAGTACAGCTGACGCAACAGAAGGGTGGGATGCCACCCAGGGGGACTTGGACAAACTTAAGAAGTGGGGCCAAGAAAACCTCATGAGATTCAACAAATCCAAATGCAAGGGGGTGCACCTGGGTTGGGCCATCACAGATATTGACTGGGAGATGAACTCATTGAGAGCAACCCTGCAGAGAAGGACTTGGGGCTTTGGTGGATGAGAAGTTTGACATGACTTGGAAATGTGCACTTCCAGTCCAGAAAGCCAACCATATCCTGGGCTGCATCTAAAGAAGCATGGCCAAGAAAATAAAATGCAGGTGGTGAAAGAAGCCGAGGACAAAGTGCTGTGTAGTGTGGATGCAGACTGCATGTGACACTGGATCTAAATACACAAGAATAATCTCTAGTTCTGTTTTTATTTAGCATTACAGATATGAAAAATAAAATCAAAAATCAAGACATCTGAGCAGGACAGAGATGCATCACATCAGAAAGTGAAGCAAGAATACAACCCAACATGTGAGGATGGGCAACCTTTATGATTCGAAGTGTAAGTGCAGTGCAGATGCCATTCCTCTGAGTTGCACAGTCTATTATAGAAGTTACTTTTGTTTAACAAGGAAGAAATCCATAAAAGAAAATTTAACCTCCATGGTATTTAAAGGATACTAGTTAAAACAGCAAGAAAAGAAGCATTTAAATCTTGTACAACATTAGGAATAAATTAGCATGGTTGTAAAGGAGACTGAAAAGCTCTCCTGAACAGAAATTACTTCTACCTCTCAGTCAAACACATGCTGGCCTCCTAATGATATAGTGTCATCCTGACCCTGATTACTTTTACCATGCAAAATTATTCTCCTCCCCACATAGAATCTGTAGCTAATTTTCCTCCTTTGTGACAGCTGTTAAACACAAAACCCATGAATGTTTTAATTGTGTTGGTAAAAAAATAAAAATATACTGAAGCGAATTTTTTTTAATGTATGTTAAAAATGGATTATTGCTATACTGAAAAAGAACCCTTGGCAAATATGACAAGCTTCCGTTTCCTTGAAATTCTATAAAAACATACATTTGGAGAAAGGGGACACAAAGGACGAAAGGGAACCTTTGATGTTTTCACACTTGGAGTTTATGAAAAAGTGGAGGCAAAGCTTCAGTGAATTATTGAACATGAAGTCCTGTGCCACTGTGAATGTCTAAAAGTCTTTCTACATCCCACACGGTTCAGTAAAGCATCTCATGCTATCACTGGGAATTCTGCAGTTCAGCACTCAAAAATCACGTATTCTTTCATTTGAACTGTGCTTAGGCTTTGGTATCCCTACTCAGATCCTCCACCTGGGATTGGTGTTAAGCAGTCCTGAGCTTCAGAAAGTAAAAGAATTAATCACAATACACATTTATCTCTCAGGACTGCTGTCTCCACCAATTATCTTACTAGAATACTTTGTGGACAAAAAGTGGAATTCGTTCGTTCAGTATTGCTATTCTAGATATTTGAGAGATGAACAACATGAAAAGACATACTAGCTTTAGATTGAAGATGGTCACTTGCATAGCATGTTTTCATTTGTCAAAATGGAAATGGTAGAACAAATCCTTCCTGACTCTGTTTCAGATTTCACATAATTGTCTTTATGAAGGAATCAAATTATTGATTTTATTTTACTGAGTAATTTTTAATAGCTATTTCTGCAAAAGAAATAAAAATCTTGCATGCAAGAAATGTGATTTGAAAACTTAAAACTCACTGAACATTATTGATCCAACAGAGACCTACTCCAGTGTAGGAGTAGACCCTGTCTAAGTTTGCCACCCTAGCAGCCCTTCTTATGCAATGAATGTTTGGACAGTCTAAGTTACAATCCTTCTACTCCGGAGCAGAATGTAGTCGACACAGATGATGAATTTTATTTTTAAAATATATTACTACTTTTTTCCAAAGAAATAGTGATGTACCTTGTCCCTCCTGAAGCAGCAATTCTGCTCAGCTCCTCCACTTGGCTAAGGAGATGAGCACCTACAGCTGTGGGAGGGAAGCACATACAAGCTTTTACCCAGTCTCTATCTTTTTTAAGGCAGAAAGGCTATTTCAGATTCCATAGGGGTGAAACACTGAAAACAGGAAATTAAGGAGAGGAATAGAAGCAGAAGAAAGTTGGCTGGACACAAGACTGGTGTTGTACACACCATTTATACTAGGTAATAAAGGTTGAAGATGTCCCTGCTCATGGCAGAGGATGGGAATGAGATGATCTTTGAGGTCCATTCCAACCCAAACCATTCTATGATTCTATGATTTATTGTATACATATTGGTCTGCACCTCAACTTTATCTGAAAAACTCTTTGTGGAAACCTTCACTCATTAATCACAACACTGGAAATATTTTTTTTTTGCTTAATTTTTTGGCTTTAATTTTTTTTTCCTAGTGTTTCCTTAGTTTTGTGATTGAATTATTTCAGTGACACTGAAAAAGAGTTCATTGCTGTGACAATTTCAAGGTCCTTGTCCATCAACCCAGGGTTGTTACCATGATAGTATCCATTTGTTGACTGTCCTATTGGAAGATTTTCTGTTCCAGCAGTGTGTGGATGAACCCTATAGCTTTGGGGTATGGATTTATTTGTAATTTCCTGGAACATTATGATTCACTTTCTCTTGTGTATCAATACCCTTTGTTCCTCCTTTCCTGCTGTGTCATTACTTATATGGCACAGGTTAAATGAACAGAGATGAGAGCACTGCTGTTATGAGTCTGAAAATTACAGACAATAAAGGCCTTGATAATGAAGAACACAGATGAAGAATTTATTGTATGGTGATATTTAAAGGTGAAGTTATTACCATTCCATTTTTTTCCCCATCTCCTACTCTTTTTTGAGGAGAGAACACAACCACATTCGTTTCCTAACAAAATTGTTGTCCTTTCAAGTTTTACTTGACTGATATGTCATGGTGGCACAGCAGTGAAGAAAGAAATTTAAAGCCAATTATTTAATGACAAATGAAGGCCTCAGGGAAAAGTGACAACTTCAGTTCGCCTTCTAGATAGACCTAAAAGTTCTCATTCTCATGCAAAAGCTATCTAGCCCTAGCCAGGGATAAAAGCTTTTCTTCCACTAAAGCACTATGATGGTAGATACTGAGAGCACCTTAGTGACACACTGACAGCCCAGTAAGGCTACACAACTTATCAGTCCAGTGCTCAGATAGCTGTGCCATTCTGGGAGCTGTGCTTGTGCTATGTCATTATGGAATTAGGGAAGGTTTTTAATTTTTTAAGGGGAGTGATGCAGTTTAAGTGCATCAGCACTTAAGTGAGAAAGCGAAGCATCAGTTTGCTTCTGTGAAAGCATATTTTCGAACTATAAATTACAATAAAAATCTAAAGAATATTTAGAATTTGGTTTACTGTTTAAAAATATTTACAAATGAAAGCAAGCAGAGTTCAGGCAAATTCTTTATTAAGGTTTTGTTTCAAAACAGAAGTAGAAAAGCACAATATGTAACACCTTTGAAACTTTGGTCTGCAAAATTAAGAAACTTTGAATGTTTTTTCTACTCCATGAATAATTGTTTTTTGTCTTTTGTTAATAAAGGCAAACAAATCTTATGAGTACAAAACTAGAATTATAATATTGACATAATTTACAAACAATTCCACATTAGCACCAGACATTAGCAAAACATGTTTTGATACAAAAGCTTTCAGACCTAGCCTCATTTTTGTAAGACTTTTTTCCATACTGAATGAAGCGTTTGCATGCATTTTATTTATCCCTTTTATAATCTGCTTTAATAATCAAAAGACACATTTAGGGAAAAGTGGAAAAACACTTAAGAATCTCGGTATATGTATTGGTATAGGATTCCTTTAATGGAAATGATTTTTCTTATAAATCAAGAAGTCAACATGGTCTCAAATACATAGCAAGAAGCTCATAGTGTTTGCTTTTTCTCCTTTTTTTAAGAGCTTCCATTATCCTTGTTACTACAAGGCAATGTAGGACAAAATAAACGATACATTTAATATAAAGCATATTTGTTTGCTTAGAAAAGGTAATGTTACTGGTGTCATGACTTTAAACACATGATGAATTTTGACTTATAAAAAGTATAAAATACTACTGAACCAAAAGTGCTATGTTAACATCTTCTATTTCCTTAGATTACTCTAAAAGTCACCTGAGGTGATTTTTTTCCTAGAAATTATCTAATTTCATTTATATTTCTTATTTAGTGGAAATAATAAAAAAATACACTCTTTATTGTTCCCTGCTCTTTTGTAATTCAATCCTTCAAACACTTACTAGACAGCATAAGAAGGAATCCTGGTTCTACAGAAGTTGATGGCTTTCAGCCATTCCAGGATTTGACCCCGCATAGTGCTTTCCATTAAGAGCAGTTAAAGCACCTCCAATGGACTACTCCCAGTGAGCACTTTGCTGGCAGTGAGTATCTGCATCTTCACATCTTTTTGTGGATTCATGGTTCAGTTTACATTATGTTATCAAAACAATGTCATTTTCTAATGATCTCATTTTTTAAAAAAGCGTTCCTCTTCCTCACAAAGACCATGTTGTTAATTTGTAGTTCTGTGGATTCTCTCTTGGAAAGCTTTTAGGAATAAGCTAGTCTTGTCCTCCTTCTTGCTCCCCCTGCCAAAAATGGAAACAGAGCCTTAGTTATTCCCTATAATTATATATAATATGGTTAAACTATATACTGTATTTACTTGGGAAATAGATAGGAAGAAGAAAGATGAAACCTTATGCTGAACATTTCACTCTTGTTCTGGCTATGAAATTAAAATGATCTCTTAGTTTCTTCATTAATCAAAATAACATAGAATTTGTGAGTTCTAGATCCCATGGTGGGGAATTCCAGAGTGCCATTTTCAGAGTGGTAAGACTCCAGAGTCATATCTCACTTTGATGGCTTTATTCTCATCTGAAACACAGTTTGACTAAAGCACATAATCTAAGTTGTTTTCAGATATAAGAAAAAAATCCTAGAAACCAAATAGTTAAAAATACCAAGTATTCCTATTTTTTTAAAAAAGCGCAATTGCAACTCTTTCCTTTTGAACTCTTTATTCTTAAAAGCAATTTTTTCCTCCTGATTTTTAAAAAGACCCTGAAAATAATATACATGCTATAATGTTTAAATATATGTTTTGCTTTTACCTTGTGTCCTCCTGCTTGGTTGTGGTCTCCGTACAGGTGCTTCTAGAAAACAGAAATATTGCAGTCAGAAGTTATGTGTTTGAGCCTGTGAATTAAAACGCATTATATATGTTGGAAACCCATCACTGCCTTTCAAAGTTTGTTGTTTAAGGTTTTCAGTAAATTAAAAATTTTGTCCCATAGCATGTTGACTTGATCACCTGAAACATGAATGCTTATAATACAATTCACACATTTTTGTCATGTGCAGTCATACATTACATCTTAGCAACATCCACACTGATCTGCAGATGGTCACATGATGTAGGCGGTTGTCAGGATGTTTTGCCTATGGTCTTCATTCAGCAAACATCATCTGACACTGTCAGTGAGGTACAAGCTCAGGTTAGTGCACAACCCAGGACTCAGTTCCAGACTTTGGCAGCAGATGTCCAGGTCTGCTGTATAGACATTATTTAAGGAATTATTTGTAAGTCATTTGCTTGAAAGTCAACCATCACAAGACATTGGCTACATTTCCAGCTATGTTTGGGGCTTGATTTGTAACTTCATTGTGAGTCCACAGTATGGTTCCACATTTAGAGATCAGGTAATTTTCTCAGACTTCTGTTTTAAAAGGTAGAGCAGAGCAAGGACTATTGAATAGGTACCACCCTTATTAGCAGGTACATCCATTTTCCAAAATACTGACTCAGTGAAACTATGGAAACTTTTTCCTCTTTCTCATCAATCCTTGAAACATTTTTTTAAACCAGATGTCTCCTCACTGGGAGGAAAAACATTTGATAAACGCAAGAGATAATTCTTCTATTACTGTCACAAAAATGTTACTGAGATATTTTTCCTCATTTACAACTATGAAGTATCGTACTTAACAGGCTGCACTCAGTGGTCTTTTCATCCTGAGTTGTCTTTTCATACTATGCATAAATTCATAGCCCTGAGATACAGGGTTGACCTCATTACTGCTGAGGATAAACACTGGGCATCTGCGCCGCTATGACAGAAAATTTCAAGCACTGCACTGCCCTGGCAAGGACAGAATATGGTTCATCCATAATATGCTTTCCATACTTATGTGCTCTCCATATAATTATGCTGTAAGATAAGCCCCATATTTGAAGATCACACCTGTCTTTCATTTTCAGGCAATAGTAGACTTTCCAGCATGCCTTGTACTACTCGACACCGAAGCTATAAGACACTATGGTATACCTTCAGTATTTGGCACAGACTTCAAAATTAAAAAAGTAGAAACATATTTATTTAATTTCATTCTCCAAAAGGCACAATATTTTTTCTTATGAATTTAGTTCAAAGACTGACAGAATAACTTATTCTGCATTATTAAAATTAGAATTAGAAAAGGTCATACATACAAATACAAAAGAAACCCTAAAGAAGTTAATTCTTAACTTTGAGTAAAGATCTTTAAACTATGATTGTTAAACTTGAAGAACCAATTCCTGGTATAAAGCCAGGCTGAATTGCATATGGCTCCTTTTGGACCTTGTCACCATTCATGCTCATCAAACCCAAGAGCTTCCCTCACTTGAAAACAGGATTACAGTAGAGAAATTCTGAGATCCTGTGACACATTTGCTCAGCCCAGAGGTTATATTCCCTCCACCCTACCCGCCCCTTCACAACACTGAGAAATCCTCACAGCAACAGATCACATTAACACTGAGAAAAAATAACTAAGTTAAAAGCAACTCACGTGGTCTTCTTCTGTGTGTGCTGCTCAAAGAAAAGTCAATTCTTATGGTGCATGTTCTTTCAAATGTTTTACCTAAGCATTGTGGTTAGACATTTCCTCTTGTCTACTATGCTTGCCAAATCTTCTAATTACTTTTAGCCACAAGATAAGCCTCAACATTTTTCACTGCAATGCCAGCAAAAGAATTCTTTTCCAAAACAATTATAAAACTCTTCTTGCTAGAATACTGGCTTCAGACCTAGTAATTTTTGTGAATGGATACTGTAAAACCTCACCTGGAATGATCACTTTAGACAAAGCAGGTCTTAGTGATACGGGATTTTTAGACAAACTAACCTTCCAGATGAACTTTCTTGATTTCTCTCTCGATAATCTGTGGCTCTCCCTCAATTACTTTAGTAACCTTGGTGTACTCAGTTCCAGCTACAGTAAGCATCAAAAACAAATTAGTTAAATCTGGCAGAGCATTTTTCCAGGTGCAAGGTACCTTCAGTGGAAACAATCTCATTTTAGGGTGTAGGTGTTGCAGGCTACCATGCTATTAATGCCATAAGGCATGTTAGTCTGGGGCTGAGTCATTCCTTGCAGTCTTGGTTTAAAGTGTTGTTTCACCAAAGACTGCTGATTATGATAAGCAGTGCTGGACATTTTATGAGCAGAATTAAAGCCCATATGAAATCATTCTTTTATTTAGACAGTAATAATACATTTGTTTGTGACTGTACTCAAATTTAAATAATTAAGATATTTTCAGTAAAACATAAGTAATTTTATCTAGACAAGAGGGCTTTTATTGGCTAAACACGTGGTAAGGTATTATCATGGCAGCCAAGGGTAGCTGACTGGATAAACCATGGAAGAAATAGAGAAAAATCAAATTAAAGCAAGAGACAAATTTGTCCATTTGGTTCATTCTGTAAAGCAGGATGCTTATGCAAACTAACATATAATAGCAAGGAAAAATAGCAAGAATTCAAGAAACAATATTGTCTTTTCCTAATTTCCTAGAGAGAAACTATTTATCTCTTTTCCATACACTATAGGGTCACAGAAAGATGTATCTCTAGAGATTATGTCTATTTAATTGTATGATTGCAATTACAGTTAAAATTGATTCTGTCATCAAACCTGTTAATTTTGAACAGTTCTACAGACAAAGTTTGATCCTGCTTCATTGTGCCCTGGTTTACACCAGTAGAACGTAGTGCAGTATATGGAGGAATTTTCTTGCTGTAATTTTTCATTTCCAACTTTTATTTTAAGTATTCAATCCCGAAATAGGCACCACCAGAAAGAAAATCTTTTCACATAGCTGGGACACTTAAAATAGGATAAGATGAAAAACCTTTTGGAAGCTTTTATTTCTCCCCAGTGATTATAGGCAAATCCTGGCTAAGTTCTATAAAACTAAGATTTAGGTGTTTAAAACAGAACAAGGAATTATAGTCAACAGGATTCATAGACATATCTTGCTTTTTTTCTAAGGCTAACTGTGTTACCAATTAACATGGTTTTGTTTGGTGGAAAGCTGTTCAGTTGTTCATCATGAAATTTTTTATTTAACTGAAGTTTGTCACATCCACAGCATGGCGCTTTTGAAGGACTACAAGATTTTTTTCAGTGAACATAGAGCTGGCTGTAAGCTACTTTACTGGTATACAACTTGGTAACTTAATAAAAAGTGAACATAAAATGAAGTGGATTCAGTTAATTTATGTCAAGAAAAACATCCATTTTTGAGCTTCTGACAGGTTTATACCAACATTTACAAAAAACCCACATCACTTGAATTCTTTTTTTTTATTCCCCATTGCTATTATAGATAGTTTTTCTAATCTACATTAGGTAGAGAACATTCCAAATTCATAGATAAAGATTAATTTCATAAGCAGAAGTTCTTTTACCAGTTTTCTACAACTACTGGTTATATATTGCCAGAATTGTTAGAATTAAGAGAGCAAGAAAGAAAGAAAACCATTCCCTGGAATGCTATATTTGAAGAGAATTAATGTCTGGATATCCATCGCCTGTAAGCATTGAAAGAAGGATGCTAAGCATGCCTTTAATTATTAACTTGAGGGCAATGAACATTCATTTTTAAAGAACTGATGAGCAAAATTAATTTGGCCTGTTACAATGCTTTCCAGTTCAGAAATATTTTCCACAGATTAAAATTTGCTGAAAAAAAAAAAAAAAGTGGAATAAATCTTCATTGCTCCCCTGAGTTTTAATTAGGTAACTTTTTAAAGACTGGAAAAACCCAGATAATTTTTTTCCATGACCAATACCATTAAAAAAAATTAATTGAAATTTGGTACTTATTTCCATTTCAGAGATATTTGGTACTTAATATACAATATTCTATTTTTTCTCTTATTAAAATTACACCTTGACTAGGTCAGTCTTTAAAATGTTGAGATCAACATATCCAAGAGGGGTTTCAGTTATCATTACCTGTTGCAAAAAGGTTAGTTATAATACACTAAATTACCTCCCTGCAGAAGTCTTTTGATTTCTTCATCTTCCAGTAAATGACCATCACCTTCAATAAATTTGGTCACCTTGGTAACCTCTGATAGGATACAGGTTATGGCAAAAAAATTGATTTACAGAAAACATTTGACAATTCTACCAAGAGTATATTAATGAATTAATCCTATCATAGCATTGTGCTGAATTACAAAATTCATCTGTTATGACATCAAATTCCACATAAACACTGAAAACATCATATTTTATGATAAACATAGCATGCCATATATAAGACTCTGGAAGCCTCAGTTCTGGAGCTGATTGAAATGTGAAGATCAGGGACTCAAACCAGAATGTTATATTTGGACATTTCTGAGATTGTGAAGTTAATCTCTGGGTAAGATTTTGCAGTGTATGAGCATCACTTCTTAAAACATGGAATATCCATTCAGTAATTACTTAATATAGATTACAAATATATACATATTTTAAAAAGGAAAGAAAGAAAACAAGAATACTAACCTTCTTCAAGGAATTTCTTTAACTTCTCTTCATTGTCTGAACCACCTGCAGTAATTCTGGTATATTTTATTTCAGGACCTGGAAAAAGATTTGTAAGATAGTGGCTTTAATCATATAACAGGATTGTCCTTAAAGTTATTATTTCCTAATTAATACATATGGTGGTTCCATGGTTAAAATTCTGTAATCTGCTTATATGAAAACTTTATCTTTCATCATGTTCTAAACTAAGACTTTCAGCTAGGTCAATATGTTGCTATAACAGTGTCTTTTCCTTACAAGTGCTCTGGCAGACAGAATTTTAATTACAGTGTTCAAACTGATATTTAACCAGGGGAATCAAAAAGTGTCAACAGAGAATTATATATATCTTGTTCTATGCTTAAATATGCCTCATTCCATCTATCAATTTCTAATATTCTTAAAGAAATATCTCTGTAGTAGGTAAAATAGAATTGAAATTGGTTATAGACTTTGAGAGTTACTCTCTGAGAAAACCAAGGGATGTAGATGCACATTAATTTTATCTTACATTAGCTGAATAAAAATGTTTAACTTGTTGACGTGACATCAAGTCCCCACCTTACAAAGAAACAGAGAATATATTTTTCTAAAATGGCTGTCAAAAGAGTCTAGGATGACATGCAAAAGTAGGTATCCACCCACTGAACATCTACCTTTGGCCAAACAAAATCTACCTGAAGATATAGAACCCAAAAGTTGACAAAAAAATAAAAGACTTCTTTCTAAAGCAAGCCATGCAATAAAAGCCATCTCATTCTGAAATGGTAGTGAGAAGCTTGTAAGAGCAGACACTGAGCAAATATATGGAAATAAAAATTAAATAAAGAAAAGTTTTCACAGTTTTGCATACTGTTAAAATATTGTTGTCATTTCTGTATATGTGTGTGTAGGGCCCATAGCCAGATTTTCAGCCATACACAGATAATGGGAAGCATTGGGGAAAATACATCTGTCCAGGAAATGCAGTTTAAGCATTAGGAGAGAACTTAAGATGTTTTACTTATGTATGTAGTGTTGAACTTTGTTAAGAATTAATAGCTCAGCATAATTTACCTTGAATAATTCTTTCTTCTGTTACTTTTTTCTCTGTCTTAATAATTGGTTCTACAAGGATTTTTAAATTGAAGACATTAATCAAGGGATGAACTTTCAAGGGCTCTTTTTGACATGTGGAAAATGATCAAAGCACACAAGGAAATACCATAGCATATTTTACGAAAAATACAAATGTTCAGAGGAGACCAGAAACTAATTTTTCTCAAAACTTAGGAGGGCCACATGATTTTTTTTCCTTTAAAACCATTCTAGATGTGAACGTCTCAATACGCCTAGCAAAGCAGAAAGCAAAGTTTACCTCTCTATCTGATAAAATTGTCTTTCTATCACAGAATCACATACTACATTTTTGATTGCAGGACAATAACCAGCAAATAATTCTTAATTGAGACAGATATTATGTCAGCATGCAGAGTATTTCTAACACTGTCTTGACTATAGCTATGGAACACAGTTAGGCAAAAAAAGCCCAATTTTTTTAAAAGCATGAGAAGTAAGAATTAAATGATGGAATAAAATTACAGCACTTCACAAAGGTCTTATTAAAAACAGAACATCTGTCTAACATGTCACATGTGTCACCTAGATAAAGTAGAAATTGATGGGAAATAGTGAATGTTTCAAATTTTAACTAATACAAACTGAGTTGCTGAAAGCATACCAACCTCCATGAATCACTTTAGTTATTGTCTCCCCTTCCCTGACTATTTTGAACTCAGGTTCCCCTTCAATTAATTTAGTTATCTGTGTGATAGATGGGTCTGTGACACAGAAAGAAAACAACACGTTACAAATAGTCATAAAATATTTATAGTATCTCATGGGACTGAGATGAAGCTTGCATTTTCTCCTCCTACCCTAAATAAACCATATTATTGCAATAGAGGGTTTAAATCTGAGAAGTCTTTTGCAGCAATACTGTACAATCTTGTGCTTCCTCACGTGCGATCTTAAATTTAGATTCTATTGCACACTTACGATTTACTTTTTTTTTATTATTTTGTGTATCTGATATTTTTAACATTTGTTGACAAGTCTCAGTCAACAAACCAGATCCTCAGCAGCAGAAAGCATTTTCTATATACATTGGTAAGAAGGATGCTTTGCAGCTTTGCTGAAATCTTAAAATGATTGCTGCACTAGTGATCAGCATCCAAACTGTACATTGAAAATGTTTGTGAAGTTATTTCTACTAATGATATAAATATCTAAGAGGAAACTAGGTCTTTTAATCAGTATTTATTGGAGCTTCTTTTATTTTTTTGCTTTGAGAATTTTTATGTGTCTTTTTTTTTTCTTTGTTTTTAAGCTATCAAGACTTGGACAGTGGTCACTTAACTAAAAAAAAAACAAAACCACAAAACCAAAAAAAAAACTTCTGAGATCAACTGGAACATCTGTAAGGATATTTATCAGCATAAATGGCTATCATTAGCATGGGTGAGGTCATCTTGTTTTCAACTGCCAAGACAAACTTCTTAATTTTGTGCAGTTGCTGTAGATCACACTGATCCAAATGTATCTCTGTCTGACAGGTTGAAGCAGAAGACACTAAATAAATTAGGAACATACCATAGATGCAGTCAATTAACAGCAATAATATTGTTCTTCTGTAGTGAGTATTATGGAAACTCCTTCCACTTAAGAAGCTGTTGTAACATAAACTTCCTTTATTCCCTATTCAGAGTTAGAAACTTAGCACGGTCCACCTCTGTTATGTGCCTTAAAAATCCCCTGGATATCTTTATATGAATTTTTGTACAAGTTGATACTGTATCGATTTTTTTTTTTAAAAATTACCAATCGAGATTTAACAACAGCTTTTACATATGTAAACCAGATGTTAATTGTTGAAAACAGTCAATTCAGGCTAACTAGTATCCTTCAATAGTAACAATCAAAGTATCCTTTTTTTTATTGCTTTTGCAGCAACAGCAGATGTTTGGATAAATTAGAATTTAGAGAAAAATAATTAATTTATTTACTGCAGATGAGAAGATATGATAGAATCATAAAGATTCCCAGTTTTTATAGAGCTCTATTCACCTACTCTGGTTTCTAAATAGCTGAATAAGCCATTGCTTCTTTTATTTTCTAACACATCTGGATGAAAAACATTCAGAAATATTTTAAAGAAACATTCTTAAAGATTCAGTCTCATGCTTCTGTTTTAAACTCAGAGGCATTTTTTGCATGTTGAGACTCCAATAAATACCAATATACATTGATACAAGTGATGAATATAAATTAAATCATGTCAAAGGTATGTTTATTAATGTTTATAAATACTTTTTTATTTTTACATTTCTGTACATTCTCATGTGATTGATACAGCAGATATATGCAAACCAAAAGGTGAAGCTATAGCTTTCTATGTTGTCTAATCTAGGAACAATCCTTTGAATTCAATCAATTGGTTTCAATCAGATTTAACTCTTTACATCTCTTTAATCTTTTGCATCCCACACATGCCTATGTATGGACAACACAAATAAAAAACACTGACAGGAAAAAGGAGACATCACCCTCTAAACTCGGTGGGGAGAGATGTAATTTTTTCATGGAAATCTCCTTTCCATAGAACTTCCTGGCAAAAATCAACATGCACTTCACCAGTTTTTGTCTACAGAGAGTTGAGGGTTTACGTGGTTCTAATGTGAGTTGCTGCTAACTACCATTACTACTAGCAAGCTCAGAAGAGCCACAACTGGCTTTATTGGGTCTCTATCTGATTCATCAGTGGACAGAGAGATCACTCGCACAGAGTGTGTCCCAAAGCAGAAACACTGTACTGGCAATGAAAAGGAGTAGCCCTTCAACACCCACTAACTTCTAACGTTACTTTTTCTCTTAGGTGAAGAAAACTTAGTTCTACAATTGACTGTAGAAGTGCTCAGACATTTCATTTTTTCTTTAAAAGACAATTTAGTTTCAGTTAACTTTCAACTTCTAAACATAATGTAAATCTACTAAACTATATACTCTGTCTCTGGATTTAACAGAGAGTACTGTACTTTCTGAGACTGATTCACCCTCATCCTAGGAAGATTTCTAAAATGCCTTGGAAGAATTATCATGTGAAATTAATCTATCCATTGTGGATCTGATTTAATGATGGAGACTAGGCAACAAAGATCAGCATATATGGTAGGTGGTCTCTAATCCTAAATGGGATGAAGTAGACAAGCTGCTGAAAATGTAACGACATGAAATCCTCCCAGAAACACAGATTAAGCAGTCTGGATAAAATTCTTTGCATGACATTTTTAACTGCCTTTCTCAGTTAAGCTCAAACAAATTCTCTTTGAGTATTTTTATTTCATTGGGAAACCGGATCTCATTATCTTTAGTTGAGTTATAAATTACAAGTGATTTTAGCAGTCTAAGTCCCACATTTTGTTCTTTTCAGTCCCACCAATAAATGGTCATGCTTTTGTCTTCAGAAATTAAAGTTTGGCTAAATATAATTTCCAGGCATCTGACAGATATTGGTAGTTAGAACTGATTGAAAAGTATAGAAAAATGAATGTCTTTTTTTTCTTCAAAGTATAAGAAACGTGTACTTAATTTTTAAAAATAACTATTTTAATGGAAAAAAAGGGGTCTTTTTTGAAAAAAAACCCCACCAGTAATAAAAGAAATGTTTTAGAAAAATTATTTAAAAGTACTTTTAAATGCCTGCAGAAAAAGGAGAAAATCCATTTGGAGAGAACAACTGTGGGTAATCATTTTATACAAAATATTTCAGTCAGTTCTAATTGCAATATTTGTATCTTTGCTTTTCCAGCAAAGTGCTTAACATCCTGGGCTTGATATGTACAAAATGCATCTCATTAAAGAAATATATACAATATATATTCTGAATATGTATATGAACATATGCAGAAATATATATTCCAAGGGCCTCATTTACCTTCCTTTGTGATGATAGGCTGGACATTGCTTTCAATTATGTTAATTTCTGAAAATATAGAAAATGGAATATACAGTACATTCCATTCTTACAATTTCTTTATGACAATGATCAGTTGGATTTGGTCTGCTCACAAGGATGTGGATAAAATCATAATTATTAATGAGTGGAAAAGTAACTCAAAAGGATCTCAGTTATAATTATGAAACAATGATGCATGGAAGTCACCTGCAGACAGAATCTATCGGCATGCCATTTGCCTTTGTGCCTTATGAAACCCACTGGTCATGAGACCTATGTTAATGTATGGTACATAATAATAATGGCTTGTACAATTACCTGCACAAAGATTTGCACAAATCCCTGACATATCTTAAATCTGAGTATTGCCCTCTTTTCATTAGGGAGCTGATCTGGTCAACAGAGGAAACCTTCTGGCATTCAGAATTATAGATAGAATGTCATAGAGAATATGCCTGTGGTGCCCTTAGGAGATCAAGTTGTCCCTCTACACCTAGGACAGACTCAAGTATTCATTGAATATCCCTTATAGTTATTTGACTCATATCCATTCACTGGTAGAGAAGTCCTCACTGGTAGAGGTCCCAGCCTTCCTATTCCCGCACTCAAGTAAATCAACAGCTACAGCTTTCTTGATGTCCAGTATTGACCTCCCTCACTTCATTTTACAGGCATAGGGGAGGTATGGGAGGTAGAATATCTNAAAAAAAAAAAAGTGGAATAAATCTTCATTGCTCCCCTGAGTTTTAATTAGGTAACTTTTTAAAGACTGGAAAAACCCAGATAATTTTTTTCCATGACCAATACCATTAAAAAAAAATTAATTGAAATTTGGTACTTATTTCCATTTCAGAGATATTTGGTACTTAATATACAATATTCTATTTTTTCTCTTATTAAAATTACACCTTGACTAGGTCAGTCTTTAAAATGTTGAGATCAACATATCCAAGAGGGGTTTCAGTTATCATTACCTGTTGCAAAAAGGTTAGTTATAATACACTAAATTACCTCCCTGCAGAAGTCTTTTGATTTCTTCATCTTCCAGTAAATGACCATCACCTTCAATAAATTTGGTCACCTTGGTAACCTCTGATAGGATACAGGTTATGGCAAAAAAATTGATTTACAGAAAACATTTGACAATTCTACCAAGAGTATATTAATGAATTCATCCTATCATAGCATTGTGCTGAATTACAAAATTCATCTGTTATGACATCAAATTCCACATAAACACTGAAAACATCATATTTTATGATAAACATAGCATGCCATATATAAGACTCTGGAAGCCTCAGTTCTGGAGCTGATTGAAATGTGAAGATCAGGGACTCAAACCAGAATGTTATATTTGGACATTTCTGAGATTGTGAAGTTAATCTCTGGGTAAGATTTTGCAGTGTATGAGCATCACTTCTTAAAACATGGAATATCCATTCAGTAATTACTTAATATAGATTACAAATATATACATATTTTAAAAAGGAAAGAAAACAAGAATACTAACCTTCTTCAAGGAATTTCTTTAACTTCTCTTCATTGTCTGAACCACCTGCAGTAATTCTGGTATATTTTATTTCAGGACCTGGAAAAAGATTTGTAAGATAGTGGCTTTAATCATATAACAGGATTGTCCTTAAAGTTATTATTTCCTAATTAATACATATGGTGGTTCCATGGTTAAAATTCTGTAATCTGCTTATATGAAAACTTTATCTTTCATCATGTTCTAAACTAAGACTTTCAGCTAGGTCAATATGTTGCTATAACAGTGTCTTTTCCTTACAAGTGCTCTGGCAGACAGAATTTTAATTACAGTGTTCAAACTGATATTTAACCAGGGGAATCAAAAAGTGTCAACAGAGAATTATATATATCTTGTTCTATGCTTAAATATGCCTCATTCCATCTATCAATTTCTAATATTCTTAAAGAAATATCTCTGTAGTAGGTAAAATAGAATTGAAATTGGTTATAGACTTTGAGAGTTACTCTCTGAGAAAACCAAGGGATGCAGATGCACATTAATTTTATCTTACATTAGCTGAATAAAAATGTTTAACTTGTTGACGTGACATCAAGTCCCCACCTTACAAAGAAACAGAGAATACATTTTTCTAAAATGGCTGTCAAAAGAGTCTAGGATGACATGCAAAAGTAGGTATCCACCCACTGAACATCTACCTTTGGCCAAACAAAATCTACCTGAAGATATAGAACCCAAAAGTTGACAAAAAAATAAAAGACTTCTTTCTAAAGCAAGCCATGCAATAAAAGCCATCTCATTCTGAAATGGTAGTGAGAAGCTTGTAAGAGCAGACACTGAGCAAATATATGGAAATAAAAATTAAATAAAGAAAAGTTTTCACAGTTTTGCATACTGTTAAAATATTGTTGTCATTTCTGTATATGTGTGTGTAGGGCCCATAGCCAGATTTTCAGCCATACACAGATAATGGGAAGCATTGGGGAAAATACATCTGTCCAGGAAATGCAGTTTAAGCATTAGGAGAGAACTTAAGATGTTTTACTTATGTATGTAGTGTTGAACTTTGTTAAGAATTAATAGCTCAGCATAATTTACCTTGAATAGGTCGTCCATCTATGATTTTGGTGTATGTTTTAATAATTGGTTCTACAAGGATTTTTAAATTGAAGACATTAATCAAGGGATGAACTTTCAAGGGCTCTTTTTGACATGTGGAAAATGATCAAAGCACACAAGGAAATACCATAGCATATTTTACGAAAAATACAAATGTTCAGAGGAGACCAGAAACTAATTTTTCTCAAAACTTAGGAGGGCCACATGATTTTTTTTCCTTTAAAACCATTCTAGATGTGAACGTCTCAATACGCCTAGCAAAGCAGAAAGCAAAGTTTACCTCTCTATCTGATAAAATTGTCTTTCTATCACAGAATCACATACTACATTTTTGATTGCAGGACAATAACCAGCAAATAATTCTTAATTGAGACAGATATTATGTCAGCATGCAGAGTATTTCTAACACTGTCTTGACTATAGCTATGGAACACAGTTAGGCAAAAAAAGCCCAATTTTTTTAAAAGCATGAGAAGTAAGAATTAAATGATGGAATAAAATTACAGCACTTCACAAAGGTCTTATTAAAAACAGAACATCTGTCTAACATGTCACATGTGTCACCTAGATAAAGTAGAAATTGATGGGAAATAGTGAATGTTTCAAATTTTAACTAATACAAACTGAGTTGCTGAAAGCATACCAACCTCCATGAATCACTTTAGTTATTGTCTCCCCTTCCCTGACTATTTTGAACTCAGGTTCCCCTTCAATTAATTTAGTTATCTGTGTGATAGATGGGTCTGTGACACAGAAAGAAAACAACACGTTACAAATAGTCATAAAATATTTATAGTATCTCATGGGACTGAGATGAAGCTTGCATTTTCTCCTCCTACCCTAAATAAACCATATTATTGCAATAGAGGGTTTAAATCTGAGAAGTCTTTTGCAGCAATACTGTACAATCTTGTGCTTCCTCACGTGCGATCTTAAATTTAGATTCTATTGCACACTTACGATTTACTTTTTTTTTATTATTTTGTGTATCTGATATTTTTAACATTTGTTGACAAGTCTCAGTCAACAAACCAGATCCTCAGCAGCAGAAAGCATTTTCTATATACATTGGTAAGAAGGATGCTTTGCAGCTTTGCTGAAATCTTAAAATGATTGCTGCACTAGTGATCAGCATCCAAACTGTACATTGAAAATGTTTGTGAAGTTATTTCTACTAATGATATAAATATCTAAGAGGAAACTAGGTCTTTTAATCAGTATTTATTGGAGCTTCTTTTATTTTTTTGCTTTGAGAATTTTTATGTGTCTTTTTTTTTTCTTTGTTTTTAAGCTATCAAGACTTGGACAGTGGTCACTTAACTAAAAAAAAAACAAAACCACAAAACCAAAAAAAAAACTTCTGAGATCAACTGGAACATCTGTAAGGATATTTATCAGCATAAATGGCTATCATTAGCATGGGTGAGGTCATCTTGTTTTCAACTGCCAAGACAAACTTCTTAATTTTGTGCAGTTGCTGTAGATCACACTGATCCAAATGTATCTCTGTCTGACAGGTTGAAGCAGAAGACACTAAATAAATTAGGAACATACCATAGATGCAGTCAATTAACAGCAATAATATTGTTCTTCTGTAGTGAGTATTATGGAAACTCCTTCCACTTAAGAAGCTGTTGTAACATAAACTTCCTTTATTCCCTATTCAGAGTTAGAAACTTAGCACGGTCCACCTCTGTTATGTGCCTTAAAAATCCCCTGGATATCTTTATATGAATTTTTGTACAAGTTGATACTGTATCGATTTTTTTTTTTAAAAATTACCAATCGAGATTTAACAACAGCTTTTACATATGTAAACCAGATGTTAATTGTTGAAAACAGTCAATTCAGGCTAACTAGTATCCTTCAATAGTAACAATCAAAGTATCCTTTTTTTTATTGCTTTTGCAGCAACAGCAGATGTTTGGATAAATTAGAATTTAGAGAAAAATAATTAATTTATTTACTGCAGATGAGAAGATATGATAGAATCATAAAGATTCCCAGTTTTTATAGAGCTCTATTCACCTATTCTGGTTTCTAAATAGCTGAATAAGCCATTGCTTCTTTTATTTTCTAACACATCTGGATGAAAAACATTCAGAAATATTTTAAAGAAACATTCTTAAAGATTCAGTCTCATGCTTCTGTTTTAAACTCAGAGGCATTTTTTGCATGTTGAGACTCCAATAAATACCAATATACATTGATACAAGTGATGAATATAAATTAAATCATGTCAAAGGTATGTTTATTAATGTTTATAAATACTTTTTTATTTTTACATTTCTGTACATTCTCATGTGATTGATACAGCAGATATATGCAAACCAAAAGGTGAAGCTATAGCTTTCTATGTTGTCTAATCTAGGAACAATCCTTTGAATTCAATCAATTGGTTTCAATCAGATTTAACTCTTTACATCTCTTTAATCTTTTGCATCCCACACATGCCTATGTATGGACAACACAAATAAAAAACACTGACAGGAAAAAGGAGACATCACCCTCTAAACTCGGTGGGGAGAGATGTAATTTTTTCATGGAAATCTCCTTTCCATAGAACTTCCTGGCAAAAATCAACATGCACTTCACCAGTTTTTGTCTACAGAGAGTTGAGGGTTTACGTGGTTCTAATGTGAGTTGCTGCTAACTACCATTACTACTAGCAAGCTCAGAAGAGCCACAACTGGCTTTATTGGGTCTCTATCTGATTCATCAGTGGACAGAGAGATCACTCGCACAGAGTGTGTCCCAAAGCAGAAACACTGTACTGGCAATGAAAAGGAGTAGCCCTTCAACACCCACTAACTTCTAACGTTACTTTTTCTCTTAGGTGAAGAAAACTTAGTTCTACAATTGACTGTAGAAGTGCTCAGACATTTCATTTTTTCTTTAAAAGACAATTTAGTTTCAGTTAACTTTCAACTTCTAAACATAATGTAAATCTACTAAACTATATACTCTGTCTCTGGATTTAACAGAGAGTACTGTACTTTCTGAGACTGATTCACCCTCATCCTAGGAAGATTTCTAAAATGCCTTGGAAGAATTATCATGTGAAATTAATCTATCCATTGTGGATCTGATTTAATGATGGAGACTAGGCAACAAAGATCAGCATATATGGTAGGTGGTCTCTAATCCTAAATGGGATGAAGTAGACAAGCTGCTGAAAATGTAACGACATGAAATCCTCCCAGAAACACAGATTAAGCAGTCTGGATAAAATTCTTTGCATGACATTTTTAACTGCCTTTCTCAGTTAAGCTCAAACAAATTCTCTTTGAGTATTTTTATTTCATTGGGAAACCGGATCTCATTATCTTTAGTTGAGTTATAAATTACAAGTGATTTTAGCAGTCTAAGTCCCACATTTTGTTCTTTTCAGTCCCACCAATAAATGGTCATGCTTTTGTCTTCAGAAATTAAAGTTTGGCTAAATATAATTTCCAGGCATCTGACAGATATTGGTAGTTAGAACTGATTGAAAAGTATAGAAAAATGAATGTCTTTTTTTTCTTCAAAGTATAAGAAACGTGTACTTAATTTTTAAAAATAACTATTTTAATGGAAAAAAAGGGGTCTTTTTTGAAAAAAAACCCCACCAGTAATAAAAGAAATGTTTTAGAAAAATTATTTAAAAGTACTTTTAAATGCCTGCAGAAAAAGGAGAAAATCCATTTGGAGAGAACAACTGTGGGTAATCATTTTATACAAAATATTTCAGTCAGTTCTAATTGCAATATTTGTATCTTTGCTTTTCCAGCAAAGTGCTTAACATCCTGGGCTTGATATGTACAAAATGCATCTCATTAAAGAAATATATACAATATATATTCTGAATATGTATATGAACATATGCAGAAATATATATTCCAAGGGCCTCATTTACCTTCCTTTGTGATGATAGGCTGGACATTGCTTTCAATTATGTTAATTTCTGAAAATATAGAAAATGGAATATACAGTACATTCCATTCTTACAATTTCTTTATGACAATGATCAGTTGGATTTGGTCTGCTCACAAGGATGTGGATAAAATCATAATTATTAATGAGTGGAAAAGTAACTCAAAAGGATCTCAGTTATAATTATGAAACAATGATGCATGGAAGTCACCTGCAGACAGAATCTATCGGCATGCCATTTGCCTTTGTGCCTTATGAAACCCACTGGTCATGAGACCTATGTTAATGTATGGTACATAATAATAATGGCTTGTACAATTACCTGCACAAAGATTTGCACAAATCCCTGACATATCTTAAATCTGAGTATTGCCCTCTTTTCATTAGGGAGCTGATCTGGTCAACAGAGGAAACCTTCTGGCATTCAGAATTATAGATAGAATGTCATAGAGAATATGCCTGTGGTGCCCTTAGGAGATCAAGTTGTCCCTCTACACCTAGGACAGACTCAAGTATTCATTGAATATCCCTTATAGTTATTTGACTCATATCCATTCACTGGTAGAGAAGTCCTCACTGGTAGAGGTCCCAGCCTTCCTATTCCCGCACTCAAGTAAATCAACAGCTACAGCTTTCTTGATGTCCAGTATTGACCTCCCTCACTTCATTTTACAGGCATAGGGGAGGTATGGGAGGTAGAATATCTCGAGTTGGAAGAGACCCATAAGGATCAACAAGTCCAACTCCCTTCTCAGAGGACTACCTAAGACTAAACCATGTGACTAAGAGTGTTGTCCAGAAGCTCCTTAAACTCTATCAGGCTTGGTGCTGTGACCACTTTACTGGGAAGCTTATTCCAGCGACCAAGCAGCCTCTGGATGAAGAACCTTTTCCTAACGTCCAGTCTGAACTTCCCCTGATGCAGCTTCATTCCATTTCCTCATGTCCTGTCATTGGTCACCAGAGAGAGGAGACCAGCATGTCCCCCTCTGCTGCCCTCCTTGGGGAAGGTACAGGCTGCCATGAGGTCATTGCTCAGCAATGAGGTCACCCTTCAGCCTTCTCTTATCCAAACTGAACAAGCCAAGTGACCTTGCCCACTCATTATAAGTCTTGACCTCAAGATCTTTCATCATATTGGTCGCTCTCCTCTGGACACTGGGCAGAGGAGGGAAATTAACATTTTGATGCCCTTCTTGTATCGTGGTGCCCAAAACTGTATCAGTGCAGAGCAGTGTGGGACAGTCCCCTCTCTAGACCAGCTGGAGATAATGTCCCTGATGCCCCCCAGGACGCAGATGGCCCTCCTGGCTGCCAGGGCACTGCTGACTCATATTCAACTTGTCATCAAGGTAGATTATTCCATTTTTTATTCTGAGAGCTTTATAACTTCAATATGTCCATTCTCAACTTATAAAAGCCTAATGTGATGTTTTTCGTTTCTACTGTGAAATGTTAGTAGAACCCCACAGAAATTTTTGTCATTTGTCTAAATTCACCTTGCTTCACAAGCCAAAGTTTCAGCAGAATCTTTGTCTTTTAACAGTTTGTTTCAACAGGTTCTACTTTCTATGAAGAAACTAAATGCAAACACTGAGAAAGGCTGCAAGAGAGCAAAAAGGGATCCTTTTTTATATTTACTCCCTAAAGAGAAAATAATCAGAACAACTGTCTCCCATACAAGCATCACACTTGCACATCTGGGAAACAGGTGGAACCCATACACTCTGTCCCTCTGGAAGTATTTATGAAAAAGGAAGGATCTCAGTGCACAGTTTGGTCAATCATAGAATCATAGAATCAACCTGGTTGGAAAGGACCTCTGAGATCATCAAGTCCAACCCTTGATCCACAACCGCCGTGGTTACTAGACCATGGCACTAAGTGCCACATCCAATCTCATCTTAAAAAACCCCAAGGACGGAGAATTCACCACTTCCCTGGGCAGCCCATTACAAGGTCTTATTACCCTCTTTGTAAAGAATTTCTTCCTAATATCTAACCTAAACCTCCCCTGGCAGAGCTTAAGACCATGCCCTCTTGTCTTACTGATAGCTGCCTGGGAGAAGAGACCAACCCCCACCTGGCTACAACCTCCTTTTAGGGAGTTGTGGAGAGTGAGGAGGTCTCCCCTGAGACTCCTCTTCTCCAAGCTGAACAACCCCAGCTCCCTCAGCCTCTCCTCATAGGACTTGTGCTCCAGTCCCTTCACCAGCCTCGTTGCTCTTCTCTGGACCTGCTCCAGCACCTCAATATCCTTCCTGAACTGAGGGGACCCAGAACTGGACACAGTACTCAAGGTGTGGCCTCATCAGTGCTGAGTACAGGAGAAGAATCACTTCCCTGGTCCTGCTGGCCACACTGTTCCTGATCCATGCCAGTCTGTCCAGGTCCCTCTGAAGAGCCCTCCTGCCTTCCAGCTGATCAACACTCCCCCTAGCTTAGTGTCATCTACAAATTTGCTGATGGTGGATTCAATCCCCTCATCTAAATCATCAACAAAGATATTAAATAGAACTGGGCCCAATACAGATCCCGGGGGGCACCAACTGGATGCAGCACCATTCACCACCACTCTCTGGGCCCGGCCATCCAGCCAGTTCTTAACTCAGCACAGAGTGCCCCTGTCCAAGCCATGGGCTGCCAGCTTTTTCAGGAGTATGCTGTGGGAGACAATGTCACAATGTTGCATCTTGGAGAGCAAGTACAATGCTAAGTCTTGGAGAGAGAGGCAGTACAACTCTGCTGTGCATCAAACACTGAACCTTGGCTAAAAATTAAAAACCAATCTTTTTCGTATGTATCTTGCCTATCCCAAAGAATCTGAACAGTTTACTTCAGGGTTATTTTCCAGTCACACATCTGGAAAGGGAAAAAATACATACAGTCTCACAACAGCCAGAAACATTCTGCTTTGAGTCTTTCTCTTCCTTTGCTTCATCAGCACATCTTACTTTCCAAGAAATTACTTTCTTTTAAAAAGAGATGTACAATTCCAAATTGGAATTGGCAACATCTAAAAAGAATTCTCAAACCCATCTGGAAGTATTTAAAATGAACTTACTGTAAAACGTCAGTGGAATCTCTTTGAAGGTACTGTCACGAACAAACTATAAAAACAGAAAATCAATTGTAAAATTTAAGAGAAGTAGCACTTGCATTACAGTTTCCTAGTGAGTGTGGGTAGGATTCACTGCTTCATTGACCTAAAAGTTAGGTGGTGCTATTTGCCTGGGTTCTGTCGTCCATTGTAGAGGGACAATGTAGTCTCAAGAGCACAGCTGAGATAGATAAGGATGCCTACTTTTCCTCACGGGCTGTTGATGCTGGTGGCTTTAATGACAAAAAAATTTAGCCACTCAATACTCTTTCTAAGGAGGAATTGCCTCAAGGATTTATAAGTGATTTATTTTCCAAGAGTGATAAATTGTACCTGAACCAAAGAGCAGATTTAGGCAAGTTCACACTGAGGTTATCCAAATGCAAATATTCTACAACTATTTGGCACTGAAAAACATAAATTCTAACTCTTGAGTGCAGTGTATGATTTGTGATTATATTTGGGTAATTGGGAGCTATTGAATGAGTTGTCTGCTGAAGAAAGGACTAGAGAATCACTTATGAATTATAATGTACACAGTTTCCCAGATCTTGCCATAAGTATGAATGGATAATTACTGAGAGAGTACCTTAATTTGAATGTACTTAATCAACTTCTTCAGGATTGTGAGCAGCTGATCATTTCCAACAGGTAGATCTGACAAAAGAAATAGGCATGTAAGAGGAAATATACAACTGTGTGCATTTTACTTTCATTTACAGTGATCAGGAGATGTAATCACTCTCAAACACTCACATAAGCATGCAGTTGTATATATATTGTACATATATTCTTCCATATCAGTGGAAAAGATAGTCTATGGCTAGTCTTGTCTTCCATATATTTGACTTTCATAGAATTTAAAAAAAATTGCCATGGTTTCAAGTGAGGTTCTTCCACAAAATGAGCAGTGAGGTAAGTTTTCTGTTTCGTATCCACATAAGAATTTTATCTTTAAATTAATTAACTTTTAAAAGTTATTTCAGCTACATAACATGTAAATAGATTTAAAGGATTATGTATAAATTCCATGAAATAATACTCACCTGCTGGATATAGGAGTTTGTCAATGACATGAATTACACCGTTTGTTGCCATGAGATCAGATTCTCTTGATTTCAGTTCATTAACCAGAAGAGTATCATTCACCTGATAAAGGATCAAAAGAGAACCCAAGTTATCAGGGACATTAAAAAACAACCCCAAACCCTACTATGACATTTGCAGAATTGCATCCCACTCCATAATGTGGATAGACATGAAATGTCAAATCCCTATTACAAGGCTGTAGCAGGGAGATTTTTTCTATGCTTAACTGTTTTCAAGTAGAGTTTCCCTCCTTGGATGGTTTTAAGAATATTTGTCACACCAGGCTCAAAGCCACTTCCAATGAAAACTCCTTGTGTCAAGTGGTAAAGAAGAATATTCCTGAGAGCATTTTTGTCTCCTATATAAAAACAAAAAAGAAAAATAGGAATAAAAAATAAATGGTAAGCTATAGTTCTTTTTGGAAATTCTAAGGATTCACACAGGCTTGAGCTGGAATTATGCATAATATGAATGATAGTACCATGAACATACACAATTTGAATCTGTTAAAATGGTGGTAAATGGAAACAAGTCACCCATATGACAAAAAGGCACTCAGAACATAATCATAAAGATCTTATAAGAAACCTTATGCAAAAGAACAGAAAAGCAGTCTGTGGAGCAGTTAGAAGTGCTGTTTTTTTCTGTTCTTATAGAGAACAGATGCAGCTTGGAGAAGTTGAGAAAGCGGAAAACCACCCAATTTTAGGGATGATTTCCATATTTTAAAGTTTGACATTCCTATTTGGGATGAAAAGAAAAAAAATCCAATCAAGACTGTCTTAAAAAGCAAATGAATCCTGGAGCCCAAGTTAATGTCCTGATAGGGCTCCCTGGTGCTCTGGGTCCATAGAGGTTAAAAGGCATAGAATGGGCTGTAGAAAACCCCATAAGGTCCTCAGGAGACCGGGTACCAAGCAGAGCAACTTTAAAGCACATATGCTTACCATTACATGGAATATGGACCATTCTAAGTTTAATACTAGCATTACCTGCTGATATTGACTGCTATTAGGAGTTTCAGCCTTGATAAAAAAGGAATGGAAATCCTATCTGGTCTTTTTTTTTTCCTAATGTCTCTTTCAGGGAACATTTTCCTTCATTTTTTTTCCTGTGTTTTGCTCTAATCACTGATAGTACTGCAATTTACTTTATTACCAAAGTGCAATTAAATGATATTTTTCTTCCTAATAAAATTAGCCAAGGTTTTGTGACTGGAACATTCATAGATAGCATCAAGTTACATACAGAGCCTAAACATGGCCACTCCAAAGAAGTTTTCACAGACTATCAGATTAACTTTGTTCTATGCCACAATGGTTACTGGTTAAAATAATCTTTCTGTCTTTCTTACAGATTAACAAAGTATTTCTTTATATTCCTTAAAAAATTATATATTTCAAAATTTAATTTTAATGCTTAAAAGAACACCAGGATGGAATTCTAGAAAGTAAACTGACAAAAAATTAGACATCCTGCTGCAAAAAAAACAATCAGGGACAAGGAAAGCGAAATAAACTGAGTCACAATGATAGGAAAAGATGATACATAAAGCCACTTGAAAAGCAGAATGGCAAATATAATTTTATTTTTAACTACAAAATTAATCCAAAATGGCATTGGCCTTGAGTACAACTTCAAGTTGTGAATTGAAGACAAAAACAATGAACCTCATAAACTCAATCTTAGTTAATAAAGTAACTACATAGTACAATACAAATGGAACAATGGCATTTATCCAGTTGCTTCGGTTCACAGCCTTGTGACACGCTTCATTTCCTTTTATAACTGCCTAATGAGAGTCATCTAGACTATCGGTTAAACTAGAGACACACCACACTAGAAGGCAACTTAGACCACTACCATAACTTTAAATGGTTGAAGAGATAATTTAAATTCCCAGTGCTTCATTAGTGAGTTAAAGGCTGCAAAAGCTGGGATTGCTTTTTATCAATACTCTGAACAAATTCTTCCAAGTAATTAAGAATTCATGGGGTTTGGCTCCATGTCTTTAAGCTTTCATTTGAGAAGTACAGGAATGGAAAATATACTGACCTGGATGCAGCAACCGCTCCTCCTGCCTTGTGCATAGGCCACATTCACATTACTTTTAAATAAACTAAAATTATTTATAGTGCTGTGGCTACAGTCTACCCCTCCAGTCAGAAATTCTGCAGGAGATTTGAAGTATTCACTGTGCATTTCTTCTCTTATGGAAATAAAGCATGACATTAAATAAACTAGTTTTAAATCTTGCAATAAATCTACAACATTCCAGAGTTTGGACGTGTTAGATGGAAAGAAATTACTTGCATTGACATGTAGCAAAAGATACTCAATATTTTACTTGGAGAGCACAGGTGCTATCAGAGATCACTGAGTGGAAACAAAGGTAAGGAAAGATAGCAAAAGTCAAGACTAAATATCTTTTGATGCAATAATTACAACTAGAAAAGAAATATGATAGAACTGAATTTCCATCTTAAAAAAGCTATTAGCAAGGTTGAATGATGACAAGTTGAGGGTAATGAAATGAATGAAGATTCTAACTTAGAAGGTAGTAAGACCATGGAACAAGATATTAAGGAGTGAAGTTTAAATTCAGGTTGGATGCTTCTTTCCAAAAAGATATTTTCTCTACCCCCAAGAAGGAAATAATTTAGGGAAGTATTATGAACTGCTCTGTGCAAAAGGTAAACTGTTTCATCAGGTAGCTTCTGTGTAAGAAGTGCATTAGCTTCCTTTCCAATCAATTTGACCCTTGCTTACAATTCTAGTTTTCTCATGTTACTTACTTATCAATATATCCTTATCGTCATCAGTCAAACCTTTAAAGGCATCATTAGTTGGAACAAACAGAGTCCATTCTCCAGGCTGTGACAGAACATCATCTAAATCTGCAGCTTTCACCAGACTGAGGAAAATGCTGTTTGCAACAAACAGACAAACCACAAACACATCTTGTTAAAATGTAGTAACTACAACTGAGTGCAGGTACCTAGTTCCCTCATTTTTTTCTGATAGTACATCAATCTTCAAACTCTTTAACTATTCCCCAGAAATTAAGATAGTGAAGGAGGAAAATGAGAAAGAAAAAACAAAATAATAAAATAAGACAGTCTTAAGAGTAGCAGATAGTGGAAAAAAATATTGGCAGCTTGTATCACAGCAGGATTCATCAAATAAAAACATCACAGATCAAAGAGATGAAAGGAGGATGTAAAGGTTACTTGCTCTTTCTAGGAGTATTGGGATACTTGCAGGAAAGGGACAAAAATACATACTAGAAAGGTATGCAATCATGCTGCACCCATATGGAATAGTACCACCCAATAATTAAAACTCCAGACTCCCCTGCACATGCAGCTCTGGATGTATCATCCACTTCCTTTTGTCCTCTTATGCCTTTCATTCCGTCATCTTATTGACTCCTGTGTGCCATTAACAACCATGCTAGCACAGAGTGTGGGAGCCTTTCCAGCACACAGCTGGAGAACACTTTTTTTTTCACCTACATGTTTTTTTTCTACTCACGTGGGTTTTTTTCTGTTTGAGTAGGCAATAAGCCCTTCCCTGCCCTCCTTGCCCTCTAAAATCCAACTACTCACAAACTCAGTGCATAATTTTTTCTCAGACCAGCTGTGCTGTATAGACAGCTACTCTCTGCAGGAAATTCTTAGTGCTGCCAAAACTGAGACTCACCTAAAACGCTTATCATTTCTTAGCATTTCATGCAGTGTCTTTTCTGCTGGATTGATGATCTGTCTGAAGACGTGAATAAAGCCATTTCTTCCTTCTTTACTTCCTCTGACCATGCATGAATTTTCAATACATACAGCCTTAATAAAAGACAAACAAATATAGCTATTTCCACAATGTTAAAAATAATACTTGAGTACTTCCTACAGTAAAATTGCATGTTCTTGCCAGGAAATTTGGCATTGCTTGAGAAAGTAGCAAAACCTATTGTAAAATAACATGGTGCAAATATTTCAGAACTTGAATTTTCTTTCCCTTGAGAATGTTCTTAATTAGTTCTAAAACTAGCCTTAAACATTTGTAAACAGTGAAGTGCCAAATCTGAAATCCTGTTATATTTTCCCAAAGAGTTTTCCATGCTAACAAAATTCCAATTAAGAAAGATCAGATTTTCTTTTTTTCCTGTCTTAAAAATTTAAAGATTTTTTTGCTAGATAGTCATAATGGTAAATGTTGGGGAGTTTCATTCAGCTTTGCCTTTTATTGACTCTCGATATTCATAGCTGGGATATATATTGTTAGAAGGCCCCATTCACTTACTGTGCGATATACAAAGACTCTAAGTAGTTTTCCTCCAATTGTTTCCAGCTCTTGTCCATTGTACAGTTCATTGAGCCCAACTTTCACTTTTATAATGTGATTCTGCAGGATTGTTCTAAGAAGACGTTGATCCAGCCTTAAGGTGTCATCTACAAAGTCATTCAGATATCAATATATAGTAATCTATACAGTGAATTTTCATTGAGATAAAGTTAAAAGACTATGGAAATACAGAATCTTACTTCGAAATGCTTGAGTTAAAGCTTGGACAGGTCTGTGTACACAGAAAATGAATTGTTAAGTAGTTCCTGCAAATGGCCATTCCTTAAATTGAGTAATGATCTTTTGACATAGCCCTGACTAATTACTATAACTAATATGGCTGATGATTTATACGTGGGTCTGATCCATCTTCTGAATTACTGCTACAGTTCTTATTAGAACTATTCCTTTCTGCATGTGCACCTTAAAACCTATCCAAATTTGCTTCTATGGTGGTGAGTTAACACTCAAATTCTTTGCAGAAAGGCAAGATGCTCAGGTAGTCACCTGTGCAAATGTACAAACACCTGCTTTATAGTATATTTGTATTAGTTTCTCTCTGCTTTAATGTAGTGGAAAATACTAACTTTCTTGTATGTCCTGCTTTTGGCTGGGATAGAGTTAATTTTCTTCCTGCTGTGTTTTGGATTTAGTGTAAGAATAATATTGGTAACACACTGATGTTTTGGTTGTTGCTAAGTAGCGCTTACCCTAAATCAAGGACATCTCAGTGTTTCTTGCTCTGCTAGCGAACAGGTGCACAAGAAGCTGGAGGGAGCATATCCTGGACAGATGACCTTAACTGGCCAAAGAGATATTCCATACCACAGAAAGTCATGCCCAGTATAAACTCGGGGGAGCTGGCCAGAAGGGGTCAATCACTGACTGGGCATCAGTGAGCAGGTGGGGAGCAATTGTACTGTGCGTGACTTGTTTCTCTTGGGTTTTAATTATATCTTTATTATTAAATTGTTCTTATCTCAACCTATGAGGTTTTTTTAAGTGTGATTTTTTTTTTTTATTGCCCTGATTCTCTTCTCCATCCCAGTGCAGGGGAAAGAGGGAGTGATTAATTGGCTGTGTAGTACTTAGTTGTTGGCTGGAGTTAAACCACAACATTGTATAAATTTTTTGAGAATAAACATGTTGTGAATATAATGGCAGCAATGCAAAGATTAAGGTTCCCACAGAACCTGTCTGTACATATTTTGTATCTTATTTTAGTGATACTATTTCCATTAGCAAATGAGATGACTGAAAACAAGCTGTGTGTTCTGGTGGTTAGGTTTGTTTTGCCTTTCTGTGTGGTGTATAGTTTAAAAGGATGAGTATCTCTATTTGGCTATGGCACTCTAAGAGTTAGAACAAGTGCTGAAAGTGATTTGGAAAACTGTCAGGGTAGCATACATTCTTGTTTATTTTGACAATCTTTTAGTGCTACTAACCTGAGAAAGCACCATTCAGAGGTGCCAGGAGAGTGTATTGGCCTTCTGGTCTCAGAGAAGATGCCAGACCTAGCTGCGCCACCAGGTCAGTAAAAGTAGTCTGCTGGGCACCTCCAAGCTCAATGACTTGTTTGGCTGCAAATAAAGGAACAGGAAAAGGTATTTTAACACATAATTTCTTCCTATTCCTGATTTGTATTCTCTGTGCTTATCCATAACTATATATCTGAGGGAATCGAGGTAAGATTGTAGAAAATATCTTCCGGGTAAGAAGTTTTTTATAC